ATCTACGTGGCTGTGCTGAGGACCGCGCGGGGCGCAGGCAGGGATGGGGGGAGGGGGAGGGTTATAGGCCAGGGGTTTGCAGGGAGGGTAATCCACACCTTGACAGTGTTCCAGGAACTCGGCAGGCTTTCTGCGCCCACGCCGCGGCTGCCCGTACTTTCCCACGGTTTCCGAGAAAAAAAGTTACTCGCCTTTTTGCCTCGTTGGAAATTCACAATGGATAGCTATAGTTGTTTCCCCCATGCGCATGCCCATATGTAAGAAACTATGCTCACTTTCTCGTAAACTTGGACCAGCTGTTAAATTTTAACATCAAACAATTTTACTGTCAAGAAGGTCTTTTACGGAACCGTGTTCGGAAGTCCCAGAAAACTCTTTGCCCCCCCCCCCCTCTTTATTCCCCCTCTGTAACAGGCGTCGTCGCGTTCCTAGCGGCTGCCTTTGCGCGTGGTTGGGCGTTGGGTGGAGGCTGGAGGCGCTGCGGAGAGCCTGCATAGCGAGATCCAACGCGTGGGGCAAAAACCTGCCGTGACCCCTGTCCAGCCGGAGCGGACTGGAGTGCTGGCCTGAGCCGCAGGAGCCGCTGGAGTCGCTGTAGTGGACCCGCCAGGGCGGTGCAGTCCGACCCGACGTCCGACCGCCGTTTCTTGTTGGCACATTGGGATGGGAGTGGGAGTGGAAGCCCCCGTGCCCCGTCGCGCCGCAGAGTCTGGCCTCTTGGCCCTCCACCACAACAAGGGCCTTATCAGCCGCAACCGTTCGACGAACTTGTGCCCCCAAGTCCGGTTACGGCGTAACTACACCGCCTCACCGCCGCCGCCGCCGCCCCTCGCCCGTGTTCGACTCGCTGCTCTGAGCAGCGCAAAACAAATCGGGGGACGTTTTGTGTCGGCTCCCCCCTCGCGGGAGCTCTCGTTGTAGGGAGCAAACAAAGGGCGGAACGAAAAGCAACAGCTGGAATGGCGACGATAGGGCTGCGCGAGCCGAACAGTCGGCGCGAGCGGAACAAAGGGGAGGGAGGCGGAGAGCGAGACAGAGAACGAGGCTGAAAATCATGAGAAAGGCTGTGTGTGGAAAGCCTTCAGTCCTGATGGCGGCGTTGGCGTCGGTTTACAGAGACCCCGGCTCGTGTTCGCCCCCTCTCTCCCTCCCCTTCTATTCGACCGTCTCCTCGCTACATTTTTGGATGGAACGCGCGCCATGCCTTTGATCCTGGCGCGCGTCCCGTCACGGGGGCTTTCCGCGTTCAATCTCATCAGGTCGAGAGAAAATCACGCCCGGGGCTCAGCCGGGGCAGCTTGGGCAGCTGGTGGGGTGCGGGGGGCGGGGGCCATCGGTGCGGCTGGGGGGCGCTCCCGTTCACGCCGGGCCGGCTAGCCAGCAGAGCACCCCCCGCTGGGGAGCCCTCGCTGGGGGCACCCCGGGGCTCGATTGCCAAAGTCGGTTCTGGGCGGGTGGGGGGAGGGGGAATTGGAGGGCTAGAACGTTTTTCATGTACTCACCGAGTGCGCGCGCGCCCCCATGGTGTCCTGGACGCGGAGCAGGCTCCTGATCTCGTCGACGCCGCCCTGATGCGCGCGTTGGACGCGCTGGGCGGCGCGGGGCCCGGCGCGGGGCGTTGCGGGCCGCAGCAGCGCCACCTCGGGCTGGCCGCTCATCTGGCCGGCGGACAGCATCCTCTTCATCGGGGCGGGGGTCGGCGCCGAGGTCGTGGTGGTCGTGGTCGAGGTGGTGGCCGGGACCGCGGTGGGCGCGGCGGCGTGGCGCGTGCTGGAGGCGGCGGAGGGCGCTCTGGTGGCCGGGACGGGGGCGTCGACCGTGGCCGGGGCCTGCAGGGGCTGCTGTGCGGCGCCCTGGCTGCGGGTCGGCCGTTGCGGCATCGTGTCCTCCGCCGCGTTGCCCATGTAGTAGCCCTGTCGGGTGGCGGGTGCGATGTGAGCGTTACTCCTGAACACGCTGCTATACTGCTGCTGCTGCTGTGGTTGCTGCTGCTGCAGCCCGCGCCGACCACTCACGTTCCAGACGGGGTCGCGCCCGTTCCACGGCTTCGGCTCGTCCTGGTCGCGGTACACGTTGGTGATGCCGCTCTTGGCGAACAGCCGCTCCAAGCCCTGGTCCAGGTCGGCGAGCACGTTGGCGTCCCCGGTGAACTCCTCGGCGCGCTGGTTGGCCTCGCGCCGCGCCTGCTCCTCGCGCTGCCGGCCGAGCGCCATGGCCAGCAGGGCTTGCGCCTCCGCCTGCGCCTGACCCTCGAGGTCCTGGAGCCGCTGCTCGTCCGAGCGGGACTTCTTGGCCAGGGCGTGCAGCTGGCGTTCGTCCTCGTCCTCGTCCTGCTAGGGGGAGAGAAAATGATTGATGTCAGCCTCAAGAGCAGCAGCAGTACGAAAGATAAATGTTTGCTCGGAGATTCCAAGTTCTTTACAGTAATCTCGCAGTCACGCACAGTTCACTGTTCTTACCTGATCGACGTGGTACTGGTAGCGGCCGTAGGCGGCGGGCACGGCCGGCCGCTCATACTCTCCGCGGGCCGCGCCCGCGCCGGTCGTCGTGCCGGAGTTGACGGAGCCGAAGACGTAGTCGTCGCTGTCCCGGTACCGCGGGTCGACGTAGCGCGCCGGGTACGGCGGTACGCCGGCCGGGAAGCCGAGCCGCTCCAGCCGCTCGCCGTACTTGTTGGCCTCCATGAGGTTCTGCAGGAAGGCGGCGTTGGCCGCGGGGTCCGAGGCCGCCACGTCGAACCACTGCTCCTGCCCGTAGTCCTCGTCCTCTTCCGGGTAGTCGTCCGGGTACAGGTAGGACGTGGCCGGGGACCGCAAAGGGACGTACATGTCCGGGTAGTAGGTGGGGCTCCGCACGGAGCGCGCACTGCGGCGCGCGGCGCGCAGCTGCAGCGGGTAGCCCTGCGCGGGCGCGGCCAGCACGACGAGCACCGCGGCGGCCAGCACGGCCAGGAGCACGGTCTGGGCTGCGGGCGGCGACATCTGTAAGCAGGCCCGAAGTGGAACTAGAGTCCTGGGACCAAACTGCCGCCGTGGCCGTAGGGCAGCCCCATCACGCCCGCC